TAAGTGGTGGGTAGCATGGGTAGGGGAGTCCTATTTGAGGATAGAATTAGGGGGGGGGGTCGTATTTTTCAGGAAATGATAACAACACGATGGCGTGCCCTGCACGAAGGTTCTGAAAGGCTCATTGGAGCTCGAGCTTTAGTGCACTCAAAGAATGTTATTTCTTCTCATTTGAAATGTTGTATTAAATTGTGAAAATTTTGTATACTGTAAATATTTTAAGGTATACGACTTCTTCCTGGCCAATCTGCATCCTTTTCTTGTGCAGTGTTCGGAAAATCATGTCCGCGAAGGAGTTTTGTATTGTGCTAACATTCCAATTCTTCGATTCCCCAAGGTGACTTCTCCGATGAAGGCAAGCACATCGAAAAGGTAACAGAGAGTCTAAATTTTTGGATATAGCAGTCGACAGCCACACTTCTAACATGTTTTTAGCAAAGAGCAGACAGACATTGGCAATGAGGAGACAATGCGGACAGTCTCTCATCATCTTGACAATGTAATATCAACGCTTCTTGCTTCCTTTTGATCCAGTGATTGAGTGGCAGTTTCAGCTCCTGTTTCCTGTGCTGGCCGGAGAGGACATGGTAGTTTGTGGCTCTGAGCAGAGGAAGAATACTGTCATCGATTTCGTCGACAAAATCAACTTTCTGAAGCCGAAAGCTCATCCGAATCATAAAGTAGTACTATGGACGAAAGATCAGGAAGTGTAAGTGACTTCTGTGTTTTTTTGGTTATAAAGGTTCATTTGAAATGGTGGGGGTTGGTCTCGGAAAGTGGACTTACTCCTTGTGATTTGCAGTTTCTCCAGTTGAGCTGAGAAGGTGCAGAATTGGTGGATAGGATAGAAAGAACACTACATAGTCCATCCTCTTCCAAAGGGGTTCGTCTCACCCATTTTTGAGTTAGGAATTAATTCCCGGCCTGATAGCTATCTGATTCTATGAACGTAATTCCCAAATCATTATCGTCCCCATTCTGCTTCTATAAAAAAATGGCAAAACACAAATGGTTCCGTTGCCCTTTTGAAGTCCATTATCATAGTGTTGATAATGAACTCCTCATATGGAGAGCATGTTTTCTTTTCGATTTCTTCTGATTTACCCTGTTTTATAGGCGGAGGTGGTGTAGTGGCAGGTGACACGGCAACCGCACGCACGGTCCTTGGATCAAATTCCGGATCAATTCCCGCCCAGCGCGGACTTCCTACATCGGTTGCCCCCCCCCCCTCCAAGTCATTGTATAGGCCACATCGCATTCAATAAGCCACTACGATTCTGAGTAAAAGTAGAATGCGTGGCGCATCACCACAAAGGGATTGGTTGACGGCGGAGGTTTTATCCCTTCAGATCCTGTTTTCTGGTGTAAGGCCACCTCAGTTATTGAGGCGCACCTCTAATGGCGCAAATGTTTGGCTCGTTTTCTGGTGCCCTGTCTCTGAATTACAGCATTATGAGCAACTATTTCGTTTGTTGTCATAAACTTACTATTGGTCACACCGGTGTTATTTTCTAAATCGGAGGTCTCAGTGATTCTACCAAAACTTTGTTCCATGACGTCAAAGGCGCGACCGGTTTTCAAGAATGCGAAGTCCGCGGCTCAAATATCAATGGCAGGATGGTGAATAACACAAAAACGAGAGAAGAAAAGCGCATAAAGCCTTCCGAAAAGCTCCTTATAAAGCCTTATATTGAACCGCGTTTATACGTGCGCAAGACGAAGAATGGGTGTGGATCGGACGAGTTCAAGCTTGCCGCTGCCAGTTTTTTCTTTTTATCACCTCACCCTCACTATTCGAAATGGAGAGTTATTAGCGCAACACCCGCACCGACAGGAAGACTTTAGAGATGCAAGTTGGTTGTTGCGCTGGCCAGTGGGCAGAAGATGGCTTCGTCGCGGGCAGGTCGTGCTTTTCTCACGTACTTTTGTGCTGTGAAAGTGGTAGATCCTTCATATTGTGGCCAGAACTACCAAGTCCAAAGAATACGAGCATTAAATAAACGCGAAGCGTGCCCTAAATAAAATTAAGCATCTATA